TTGCTGCGTTTGTATCTGTATTTGAAAGCTACGTCGTCGTTTTATATTTTCTGGCAACTGGAAGGAAGCGGTTAAACAGCATGGCAACAGATAACACGACATCTACAGCACCTCGAAAGACAAGAAACAAAATTTCAACACAATGTTCACCTGGACTCCCGTAAACGACTCAGTCCTCACTTAACGTCCCCAATGAAGCTATCGCGGTTCTCAAGTGGGGGGACATAGATACATTTTCTTCATCCATGTCCACCACCCCATCCCCCCCCCCCCAAATCCCGATCCTCAGACCCTCACAACACCCCGCATTCAACCTCTCACATCTTCGGGCTCACTCGTCGATGGACTCGTGTTCAATCCGGCATAGTGTAATGGTTAACATACTCCGCTTTCAACTGGATACCCGTTCTGGTGAAGTGCTCCGGAGAGCTCCGAGTTCGATTCTCGGTGTCGGAAGTTCTGACTTTCTCACTTTCATTTTGCCAAAATTCGAAAGGTGCACTTCAAGGATTGGTGCAATCGCGTGTGGTGTTGTGTGGGGAGGACTTGTCTTTTCCTTAGGATTGATGAGTCTTGCAAGGACGAGAGTATACGGATCAGGAGTTACATCGGGTCAAACACCAGCATGTAAGCCAACAGAATGGAGCGCTATTCTTCATCCTCTATAATTAGGTGATACTGAACGAGCCTGAGGAATCTGCAGCAGCTTTTTGAAAAAAGTTTTTCCTAGTCTACCAGTTGCGCTTGATCCTCTTGCGGTGATATCGGCGATATTAGCCATTCCCAAGCAGTGTATGCCTTCAGCAGCCGCTTGACCTAGGACATGTCATGTTCATGAACGGAGTCAGACAGCCGTATCGGTGCTTCCGGGGCAACCTTCCATGTCAGATCGGCCATAACGGAGCAAATGCGCCGGGGAGCGGTACGACGGAACTAAACCGGCGTTGCAGGGACGCGCAGATCTTGGTCCTTGCGGAACCTACGTCTTTAACGACTCAGTAGCTGTATTATGTATAAGGGCCATATCGGATTGCTACAGGGACGCATGTTGGCTAGTGAGTATCTCTGGTATAGCTCTAGGTGGTTGCAACCAACTTCTCTACACGACAACCCAGGGGCTGTTACAATTCTAGTTACGTCCAACGCCCTGTCGTTAACGTGTAACGTTGATCTCTGATGTTCCTTTGCGCCCCCTTGATGGCGAACCTCGAGACTTTAGTTCTTCATGATGCGTCGTCTCTCATCCTTCTTTGGCTTTTCCCCCTTTTCTCCGCCGTCCGTCACCTCTGCCTCGGACGAGTCTGGTATATTCCTTTCGAGTATGCTCCTCATGGTCTAGAACCCCACCGGCCGCCCTTTACCAAAGAACGGTTTCGGGAGGGCATCAACCGATCGAAAGCTTGTGCCTTTGAGTATGCTGTAGTTATACTCTAGTGGTGGGTGGCTCGGTGGCATTGTCCTATCTCGTCAAGACCCAGATGGCCAACATCATAGATATAAAGCATGGTAAGACGGCGGCCAATGATGGATAGCCAAGTTCAACCCGAGTGCGATGCCGTTGGTTGCCTACTTTTCAGAATAATGGCAAGTTATCTAAGTCTGTGGGTTATGTCATACCGCTGATTGGGCCTTTCACCGGCAGCCACGGGCGGCAGCAGAGTTTAAATCGCGTAGAGTTGAGTTGGCCAAAGGTGGGACGAAAGGCGGCAAAATTATACCCGCAGGAGAACATGTAGGTGATTACATATCAACTCAGTCATGGATGGTGACAGTAAGGTTCATATCTGAACGCATGTGCCAACTGTAACTTAATCTTCCAAAAATCGCCACAACCCTTACTCAGTTTAAATACTGTGAGCAACGTGTGACCAGTCTGGCAGGGGGCAGTTGCTCTTGCTATTGTTGAAATCGCGCAGCCGATCGCGATGAATATAAGAGAGCCGCATGCTATAGCTAGGCTACAGGCATGAACTGCATGCCTGGAAATATATGCAGAGGCATTAACTTGGCAGCACGTTGTTCCGTTGTGGGCCACCCAACGGATCAGACTCCGGGCGGCCTTCCGGAGTAACAAATGCTAGAAAGACGTGCGGGGAGACTTCCAAGGTTCGGAGAACAGACGCAGCACATGTGAGATTTCTATTCTCGTAGAGCAACCAGAGCAGAGTTCAGGGTCCAAGAGCCCGCCGGATGCTTAACTTACACCATATAAACCACTCGCAAAGGGTCCAATGCGCACAGATAGTTGCACTGGGCTTAAATCAGATGGCCGATTCTGGTCTAGCTGGCGACAGCTCTCGAAAGTGCTGCCATCATTGGTGGCTATTACGCGGGTGTAGCAAAGCTGTTTGCACAGTTTGCTCTCCTTGCGGTTTGGTGTTTGGTCCCCGAGATGGTGAGCTACTATATCGGGAACACGACAGACGTGCCCAAATATGCCAGGGCAGTAAGGAGGGTCGTTAACTGTCATGTAGCACATGTAGTGTGGTGGGAAGTCTGTGGATACCAGGCCTACTACGTGCGATATGGTCTTCAGAAACCAGCTTTCAGGATAGCATGGACCCTGAACCCGGTTGCCACACCACCTGGCCAATATGTCGAAACAGCAGACCCAGAGTAACACTGGGAAGATCCATCAGATCGAAGAACTGGTCAGACAAATGATCCACAGAGGGCCATATGTCGGAGTCACGTCGTCGGGTCACTAGAACACATCGAGTCGAAGGCGTAGAATAGCCGCGACGTCATTTTCAGAAACGGCGAGCGAAAGAAATTGCGATGATCGAAGATGTGTTGGCAGTTCTTGATATTCGGCAGCAGAGGACGCAGGGCGGCCTGGGCAAAACGGACGGGGCGGAAGCCGGAAGTGTCGGACATTGGTTTCTGGGAGTGAGAGAGTTATTGCCCAGTAGCGTGCACGCGTGATGAGTTTGGCCGACGGCGGGTATTGCGATATAGAAGTTGGTCCTAAGACATTGTTTCGCCCACAATGGATGTTCCTGAGAAAACTGTGAATTCTGGCTCGCTGGAAACGGTTCCGAGCGAGGAGATGCCGATTGATTGGACCGCTGGACAACAAGCAATTCAGGAGTTCGATCTCGATCAAGGAATGTCGGGGTTGCTGTCGAACTCTTACAGTGCCATCAGATGGTGGATTCGGCGGCTGACGTGCATGGATGAGGATGAGAAAAGCTGGGTATGGGTGCTGTTGGCGAGAGACAAGAGTGGAGGGGGAAAGGGCTTGTTGTTGGCTGTTAATGTCGGGTATACCAGGGTTAGGGTTCCTGGATCGGGAGACAGCCGGAATGAGCGTCGTCCAACGTACGAGAGACAGAAAAATAATACTATTAAGAAAGGAAAGACGAGAGACGAATACAGTTGGGAAGGCGTCTAGGCGTCGAATTGGTCTTGGGCGAGTCAGACAACGTGGGGAGAGCGGGATGACATACGACGTGGCAGGTTTGGATTTATCACAGGTAGGTGAAGACGACTGGGTTATTCCCCTTTGGAGGTCAGACCATGCAGGCTCACCCTTTCCTGTTGGTTTTGGGGCGTCATTGCGTTAGGCATTTCGCGATGAACGTCGCCTGCAGCGAGCGCCGCAATAGTAGACTTTTTTTTTTTCCTTCACAGCCACACGTGGATCCCACACATCGTTGTCAGTCATTCAGGTCACTCATAAAAGTAAATTATACAGTACAGAGCACGCTGTGCTTGCCTTGCGCATACCTTAAATGCGGTTGGTGTTGTTCTTTCCGTCATTCTATAGCGAGGCAAGGGAAACTCGGAAGGCACCGCCTCACTTCAACGAAAGGCAAGTAGTCGCTCCTTCCTTGCCTCACAACGCATGCACCATACATAGTACATACAACATAGTGCAGGAGCATCCACAACAAGGTGGTACCTGCCGACCTGGCCAGCCCACTTAGCCCCAAGCAAAATATGACAGGGAAGGTACCGCATCCTAAAGGCTATAGGGAAGGGATTACTACGTACGGAACAGTAGAACCCATTTCCCTAAAGCAAGGAACCGGCGATGAGAAGTCGATAACCAGTGAGGCTTGCTGCGGCAACACACAACTGTGACCGGCAGCCCTGATCAGAGACAAACAGAATTTGGCAGCAAAACACTCACCAGTCGTACGCAGCACGTACGTACGTACACACACTTTCGTGACCGTGTCACTGTGGGCTAGCTTTCTCAAAAACAAAATACTGTGAGCTCCCCCGTCCAGTCCTGGTTCCTTTACTCAACGGTGCCCACCCACCGTTCTTCGCAGCACTCAAACCCAAAAACCCCCAAGAGACCCGCTACCGCCCGGACTCACTCCGTCATCTCATGCCGTTGCGACACGTGAACCACCATCTTGGGCTGAGGTAACCGCCACAACTGGATAGCATCTTTCAACCTTTTTTACCTCATCCAACCTTCTGTGCGCTCGATTGCGTGCAGTGCCGCTGTGCTGGCAAATTCGGGCAACACAACGGATGCGATTACGCCTACAATTACTCTTGCGCTTGGGACTGCACACCTTACCCAACCTTGCCCGCCCTTGCCTTTTCCTGACCTTCAGATGCTTCTTTGATATTCGGATACCTCACAGACGTTCACTCACGGACGCCCGCTTTTTTCCATCCCTCGGGCGACAAACAAACGACGGCTTGAAACTCTCGCCAGCCCCCAATAAACAGTCCGCTGTCCTTGTTAAAATAATGCGCTGCCAATTTCTGCATTGAATTCGATCAAACTGTCCATCGCCAAGACGCTCCTTCACTAAGTAATCTGAGCTGATGCCGGTCAGCCTAGTCTGTCTGCGACAGGCGCATTCCTCGTGACAGCCACGCGACTGACCAAATTACTGACGCCCGCTGCTATCCGGGCCTCGACGGATTTTCTGCACCTGTTTTTTCTTTCTTTCTTGGCTTCTACGTCGACATCTTTCTCTGAGCGCCCTAACCGCCTCCAAGGCGCGTCTTGACCTTAATCTAATCAATGAGACATGGCCGACGTCAAGGACGGGAGAGATCGAGAAAGTCGATCCGAGAAAAAGAGCTTCTGGGGGAACATTTTTAGGAACAGGAGTCATGCAAGGAAAGGGAGACTGGTAAAGCCCCCTTGGACGATCGTGATTATCACGCATTTCATCTCGGACTCAATTTTTTGCTGATTCGATCGCAGGAGAACCCAGAGTCACGCAGAGCCAGCGATGGAGATGTAGCTCCGCGGAGACGTCGGTCGACACCCGACATGGCCAGCGGCACCAGAACTGTTGAATCTCCAAACGGTCACCCGCCTCAATCGCGCCGGAGGCCAAGGAGGCCTGATCCGGCCCGTGCCAAGGGTAAAGGCCGCGCGCATCCTAATGGCCATCTTTTCGACCAGGTACCATTGACAGAATGGCCTCCTTCCGGCATGTCGAGCCAAGAGGAACTCACTCTCGGTCATGCCATGGAACTCATATCGCGGGGTGTGCCTGCCCATCGAGGGCACAAGCGCCCCGTCCCTCATGCATCAGATCACTACTACGCCTTATTCTCAACAACGATCGGCAATAACACTGAAGACTCCGATGCTGTAAACTTACACGACTCCATGACCCAGCTCATGACCCTTCGCATGCAAGGGCCTGGTTTGGCCGATTACCCGTGGGAAACACTTGAGCAGCCCAGTTATTCCTTCTTTCACGGCCAGCGCCCCGGTACAATCACTTTAAACCAATGGGCTGCCATGTCCAGCGTGTTGCCTCCGACGATTGCCTTGAGAGATTCTGGTGTCGAAGCTCGCGAGGTCGACTTGGGCCACATTTTTAGGCGTCTCAAAGAGCTGGAGTCCGGTTTGGAGGATGACAATGAGGAGTTTATGTACAAAAGCCTATACCGCCGCTTTCTCCGCGACCCTGATAAACTACTCAACCCTCACAAAACACTCGACAAGCAGATTACTGATTTGATTATGGTACTCTCGCGACCAGACTGGATTGACTTCACCAACCCCAAAAACCAAGTCGTCGCTCGATATATATTCGACCCCAGCCATTCCAGCCAAGCGCAGTATATGAAATTCTGCCACCAACTCGTCCTCAGCATGGAGCTGGACCTACGTATCCACTCGAAACTGCATGGAGACTGGGCGAAAGAGAAGTTAGTACCACAGCTCCCACCTACTATTCAATGGGATCTTGCCCTAGCCAGGCGTTGGCGAGAGCATGTTAGGGTCGAAGGCTATGGGAAAACAGTGGATCAAAGTAAGGAACCGTTCATTCAAGCTGCATTTACATGAGCTAACGAGTAACAGTCAACCTGCGCTTCAGGCTCAAGAAAAGGCAGATAAAAATGCTTCGCCGCTTTGCTCAGATAATGAAATGGCCGAATTTGGGTCAGACACTGGACAACATGAAGCAGCGGGATATAGAAGCAACCCTTGACATTATCAGCTCTGATGCTCTGGCATTTTTCAGCGGTCTCGTGCTCCCTGGGGTAAGTGTTCTCCTTCTCAAATACACCACACGACGCTAATGGTCTGAAAGCGCACATTCCCCTTCCTCATCATGAACACGCTCATCGACATCGACCCTGACAAGGCCACTGACTCCCTCGCCCTTCTCACCCATCTCCACCCTCACTGCGGATTCCAGTACAGAAACAGTTACACGTACTGGACTGCGACGTCCATCGTTGGCAAGGTCCTTGCCCCTACTTGCCGAACCCTGGCGGGCTGGGTTGGGCCCGCCCGTCCGACTACCGACCTCGGGCGAAGTCAGATTGCACGGGTGCGCTCACGACGCCCCCGCCAACGCATGACTCCCGAGGATGTCCAGTCGATGAGCGAGCGATCTGATCCCCTGGGCCCACCAGCGGAGGTTTTCCCCGTAAAAGAATATAAGCTCGTGGCTCCAGATATCGATGATATTGTCGATACGGTGCGCATCGAGCTTCTCAGTCTCAAAGTTATTCCCGACCGCTTTCAAGAACCGCCGCCAGCACCGAGAGTGTACGACGCCACAGTCCAATTCGCCATTGACGGAGTTTCTTGGCCTATGCGCCTCACCTACGATGTCTCGTTTATTTCCGCATGGCCCTGCACAGACGGTCCTCACCCGCTGTTCTTCGATTATGTTTTCCAAACTGTAAGGGTGGATGAGATCATGGGCATCAAGGATTGGGGCGGACTATATGGACAATCCCCGAGCGCGCGCAGCTCTAGGACCAGCTCCAACGCAGGACCCCACGCGGCAACAAGTCGAGAGCAAGTTGATGAAGAACAGGTTTTGGTTGTGGAAGCGTTCGGCGTCAAGGATAACGAGGTTTTGGCGCGAGCCTGGTGTTCACACTGGGGGCTTAGCGCTGTGGTTGCAGATCTTCGAAAGACATGGTAGGTCTGCCGACATGAGTGGCGAAGAAGTAGAAGCTAACTTTTGTTTTACAGCATGGCTTGTGCCATCCGCGAGGCTTACGCGGCAACTCTAACAGTCGTGGTATTGGTCGACGACCAAGATTACAGCGATAGTGAATAATGACAATGCATGAGCGACGTTTGCAATAATGATGATTAGGTAGGATACAAGGGGTGGGAATATTTGAATGGCATGTGGTCATCACCCACCAGGTCGATTTCCCTTTATCGGGCTCTGAGATACCCCTGCGAGTCGTCTTTCTCGTGAGGAATATCTCGTGGATGATCAGCAATGAAGGTGTCAAGGGAAAGAGGGGCGTATTTTTGTTGCATGAGAGCTGGCATAGCGCTCTGGAGCGGTTTTTTTTTTGTCCTTTTTTTTTTTCCTTTTTTTGCGACCACGAAATACCCATGGCAAAATGCATTCTTAGGCGTCTAGTCATGGATGTTGGGGAGCTGTACCTCCCTTCTGAATACACTATTACCATCTATCATTAAACTTTGCGGCTCTCTTGTGTGCCCACTCATTCAGTATCGCCTAGGATAACTTTAAACTGCCCAAGGCTTTCCTGCCATAGCTTTGATCCTTCACCAGTGGCCCAGGCCGTCACCCTCTCTACACCGTCGAGGTCGCCCTTCATCCGGGTTTCGTTCGTTGTCCCGTCAAGCACACTGACGCCTCGCAAGCCGAGAACGAGGCTATACAGTGCGACTTCATTGCTCACGCCTATGGCCGCGGCAACCTTTCTCACAAAGTCACTTTTGACCAAGTCCGGGTTGGCAGTCAACGTCCAGAAAGATTGGAAATTGATACCGCGCTCGCGGCAGAAGACTCGGACGGGGGTGTTGTATGCCTCCTTCGGGTTGAGCCGGTTCTGGACGACGACGGGCTTGACCTCGGCATCGTCGCAGAGGGCGCGCAGCTCATCCAGGTCAACGTTGGAGATGCCGATGGTCCGGATGCGGTGGGGCACGTACGACTCCAAGGCACGCCATGCGAGGAGCGTATCTTCGTAGGCGGGATACGGTGCGTGGAGGAGCACGCAGTCTAGGTAGAAGTCGGACTCTTGGCCGGACGCGGTTGGCTCCTTTGGCGATTCTGCTGCAGGGGGGCCGTCTTTGAACAGCGAGCTAGGCGCAGAGAGGTGTTTGAACGAGGAGGTGATGGAGCTGTGCACCTGGTCCGGGATGGGGAGGTGGGACGGGGATGGGGAGAATTTGGTCTGGATGTAGAGGGAGGAGCGGGGTAGGAGGCCCGGGTTCTGGGACAGCCAGGTCCGGAGGCCGGCGCCGACGCCCTCCTCGTAGTAGTGGTGGGACGCGGCGGTGTCGAGGCCGCGGAAGCCGGCGGACAGGGCGGAGACGACGAGAGGGGCCGTTTGGGCCTTTTTCCAGGCTGTGCCGTAGATTAGGCGGGGGATCGGGGCGACGGTGTTGGTTGCCATTATTTATACAGCTTCAGATGGGAGGTTTCACGAATAACAGAATGGGTGTTTGACCTGGAATTGGCATTTGAGACCAGGCTTGCAAAGTGCACCATGTATTGCAAGGGATGATATTACGGTTGCGTTTGTTTGGCGGAGAAGATTACTACATGTGATGTCAGGGAGGGGGAGCCACTGAGCGAGGGGTGAATATTGAGGCTCAGGCGGCGCACATTGATTGTTTCAAGATATGAAACCTTACCGGGCGGGATGCAAGACACTTTGTTACAAAATGCTACACTAAGCTTATAAATAAATGTTCAAGTGTGCGAATGCCCTCCTCATCCAGGCCGATACTCCCCGGTGACTCCCCCTTCCCGGTCACCAATTTCCGCCATTGCATGGGATTCATGCCCCGTATAGCGCTTCAATGACGTCTTATCGGCAGCGATAAGGGAGCCCCGCCGCGGGGTATGGCCCGACGTTCCACGGAGACCCCGCTACTGCTACCCCTCAGCACCTTGGAGGGCTGGAAGCTTCGCTCAGCAATCTCCAAAATGGCCAGAAGAGGAAAGTTTAGCAGTCTAGCTGGTTAGGTCACGGTAAAGGTGGGCTGGGCTACCTTTATTTTGATGATCTTCAAAGGCGCATCAATAGCGTTATGTCTTTTGGGCTGTTGGTTATTAAGGATTAATAAAAGTCATGGTGGTTGGTACACTATGAGATCCCCAAGAATACATCATTTCTAAGCGTATGGGGGTCTGGCTATTTAGTTCTTGTTTCAATTTACCCGGTGTTAGGGCGTGATTTTGGCGGGATTTGGGGCGGAATCTCCGCCACCTAGCTCCCCTGTTTCCCCTTCTTGTACCCCGCAACAGCTGCCTCCGAGCACCATTGGTGACTTGGAGGAGGGGTCGCGTCGACGCGGAGTTGCAAATAGAAATAAGGCACACTCGCCGATTCGAGCTTTTTGGACCCATCTTATTTTCAAGCGTCGGAGCTATCCTCTCGTTATATAACGTGCTGTCAATTCCTCCTTCTTCTTTTTTCAAGAAATTGCAGCGTCTCGCCAAACCACCTTCGAATTGCAAAGTATCGTTCCCTTACGTCTACCAATTCAAAATGGCGCCACACACTGTCAAATGGGGCATCATGGCCACTGGCTGGATCGCCGAGAGTAGGTTCCCTTCGTCCTAGCGACAGCTCCAATCTAGGATTTCTTTTCCTTGAACGCCAGAAGCTAATGAGTTGCTTTTCAGCTTTCTGCAAGGATATTCTGACCAACCCCGCCGCTCGTGATGTCACCGATGTCGCCCACAAGATTGTCGCCGTCTCCTCGTCCAGGGACGCCCAGAAGGCACGCGATTTCATTACCAAGATCGACGGCCCTACGGACGCAGTCTGCTACGGCTCCTACGCCGAACTCGTCCGCGACCCCAATGTCGACATCATCTACGTCGCCACCCCTCACAGCCACCACTTCCAGAACGCCATGCTCGCCCTCGATGCCGGCAAGAACGTCCTCTGCGAGAAGGCCCTGACCGTTACCGCTGAGCAGACCCGGCGTCTCATCGAGACCGCTCGCGCCAAGAACCTCTTCTTCATGGAGGCTGTCTGGACCCGCTACTTCCCCCTCAGCATTAAGGTTCGCGAGCTCATCTCGTCCGGCGCCATTGGCCGTGTCTACCGCGCCACCGCCGACCTCTCCTTCAACAACAACACTGAAGACCCAGTCAAGCTGAGCTTCGCCGACTCCCACCGCATGGTCAACCCCGAGCTCGCTGGCGGTGCGCTGCTCGACCTGGGTATCTACTCCCTGACGTGGATCTTCCAGTCGCTGTACCACCTGCAGCCCGAAGCTGAGAAGGAGTCACCCCAGGTCCTGGCGGCGGTGCAGAAATACCCCGTCACCGGCGCCGACGAGTCGACCACCATTCTCCTCAACTTCCCCAAGCACCAGACCACCGGTATCGCCACGACTTCGCTGCGCGTGTCCACCGACCCCGATGGCACCGGCAAGGCGGCGCCCGCCATCCGCATCCAGGGCTCCGAGGGTGAGATTCAGGTTGCGCACCCCGCCTTCCGACCTCTTTCGTACAAGGTCGTCAAGAAGGACGGCACCGTCGAGGAAGTCGACTGCCCGATCCCAACAGACCCGGGTCGCAACAACTGGGGCCACGGCATGTACTGGGAGGCCGACGAGTGCGCGCGCTGCCTGCGCGACGGCAAGCTTGAGAGTTCTACGCTACCGCTGTCGGAGAGTCTCGTCATCATGGAGACGATGGACAGTGCGATCAAGCAGGGTGGTATCCAGTACCCCGAGCTCATCACCACCCACGAGTTCGACCCCAAGAGCCCTTTGAACTTGGGCAACGCTTAAGACGGGGTTCAGTTGCTAACGGGTATAAGCGGTGGATTTTTGGTTTAATGTTTTGGAAAATGAATGTATGTAACTAGATGCAACATGAGATACACGGTGAAGATTTGGGGTCAAGGGGTTCCCGCCTCCGAGAATCTGGAACCGCCGCCCCGGTCCGAGGTCTCGGAACGGGACGGGGCGGAGGAGGCGGCAGACTAAGAAATTTAATGAAATAAGCGATTCCCAGTTACCCGCCACCACTACGTGCTCATTATCCGTAATGTCTCGACGATGCCACCCCCCCTCTACGAGAATAAAGTACGTACTGCGTGGTAAAGAAAAAAAAAAAAACAGCCTCGAGGGAGAGAAAGAAAGGTAATCAAGCGTTCGTTCGTCACAGTATGTTGCTACTCACACACCCCATCTTCCACCCCCCCCGTCTGTCCTCCCTGCTTCCCGAAAGAACCCTGATGTGCTTCGAGAACAATCACACACCACCCAGGTACTCCGTACTTTACCTCGAGTCCCGCCAAACAGGGTCATCACATCCTTTGCGCACGCCATGCAAATTAGCGCAACGTGGCAGTATTCGACAACGCCAAGATACCAACCGCAGCATCACCCGCCCTGATTTCTCCTGACCCTTTTTTTTCTTTCGCATGCACTCAAAGTACTGATGTGTGGGACTATCTTTTTCTGGGGGGGTGGCGTGGAAGAGCCGCTTACCTGCTTGATCGCAATCACAACCAGCGGCACAGCGCCAGCATAATTTCGCATGGCCACAACGTAATTGGGCTGATCGGAGATTAAAACCTGGTCCCAAGGACCCGGGGCCTCGAAGAATGGTTCACCTGAATCTGACATTGGTCCTGAAAGGGGGGCCGGGCAGTGGTGGTTTGTCTGTCGGTACGCATAAATCGATTCTGTGTAAGTCAATGTAATTAACGCAAGGATGCAGAGACCCGAGACTCAAGCAAAAATTGACGACCCATCTTGATCCCTGATTTTGGGCACTGCTACTCTATGCGCCCCGAACCCATCGAGGAGAATTTCTCGGAATGAACAGACGTTGGTAAGGAGAATTAAAAATGTAAGAAACCGAAAGAAGAAGTAAAAAGTAAATAAATAAAAGAACCTTGGGTCGCCCTATTCGCGGAACCGAAGAAGGCTTATGATCCCTGACGACAATCACGCAAGAAAATCCAGGATTGATTCTCCATCCGTTCGTACCGAGGATTCGGTACTTCGAATTTCGTTTGATGCCCCGGTCGATAATGCAATGTGTCCCCTTTTCACCTTATTTTACCGCTTTCGCGTCTCTTTCTTCCCCCCTTCCCTTCGCTGGTGGTTTGCCGCCGTCCTAGGATCTCACACACACACCCCTCCCCATTTCCCTCTATTAAGGTAGGACAAGGGGCAACAACATGAAAGTGATGGACCAAACACCCATGGGTTGAATCTCATCGGTAGCCCCATCGAATACCTCCCTATACATCAATGCGCGACGAACTACACTTTTTTTTTTCCTTGCCAAGGATTAAATATACTTTTACTCACCCTTCCGCGGGATATGGAGGTGGCATCCGGGATTGGACTCGGAGTACTCCGAACCGGGCAAGGGTCCCTAATCCCGGAGCGCATCCCCGTTCGAGCACCATGGCCCCCCTCGTGCCGCACCGTGCCGCACCGTGCCGCGTTTCCTCTTTCGTTCAACCGGAACCGGGACCCACCGCACACAATGCCTACGGTAGTTTTTTTTTTTCTCCCGAACCTGCCCCCTTCTCTCTCCCCAAAGCAGCGCAAACCAGCGGGGGTGCCACCCGCCAAACGGACTCAACGCTCAGACGTCAATTTTCCCTCATTGTGCCCTCACTCGAGTCCGCTGTGCTGTCCTTCGTCATACTTTTTTTTCCATCCTTCTGCAACCACACCCGTCCGCCCTAACACCTGGCAGCAGCAGTACCTCCAGCAGCGCACGCACCCTTTTCTACTCTGGAATTTTCTGCTCTTTTATCGTGCATTTAATATATTGGGCAAACACGCGAGACGCATCCGTCCGGACCCAATTCCAACCGGCCCGCCGCTATATACCAAGCCCAAGCCCAAAAAAAAAAAAGCATACCAACCTTAACAGGACCGCAGACCAGGGCCCCGGTTGATTTTGCTTACCCCTCCCAGCCTCGCTGACTCCCCCCCCTATCTGTGGAACGCAGTGATACATAGCCCTACCAGGGACGGACAAGGGAAAAACAAAGGGGAAAGCTACACCGACAACAGAACCAGGGGAAACCCTCACCGCAAAAGTTAAGGCTCATCTCCTGAAAGGGGATAATTGCTGCGGCAGTGTAATACCGCTGCAACCAAAAACAGAAAGACAGAAGTGAGAGAACAAAAAGAAAAAAAAGGGGGTGTGAGATTTCCAAAGTAGCATACATCCACAATGGACGGCGTATCATCCGGCACCCAGCCCGGCGCCGGCTCCGCGGCCGTGCCCGCCGCTGATCCCCGTTCGCCGGGACTCTCTTCCGCCCCGTCGTCCCAACCGCCTGCAGATGCCTCCCAACAACAACAAACATCGTCGCTTCCAGACCAGGGCGGCAACGAGGACCAGCAGGAAGACGCAGAGTCCTACGAGTCCCGCCACGTCCACTCCGTCTACGAGGCCATCGCCCCGCACTTCTCCTCTACCCGCTACAAACCCTGGCCCCTCGTCGCCTCCTTTCTGCTCTCCCTATCCCCGGGCTCTGTGGGCCTCGACGCAGGCTGCGGAAACGGCAAGTACATCGCCGTCAACCCTTCCCTATACATCATCGCCTCGGACCGCAGCGCCAACCTGGTCTCGCTGGCCCGGGACTACCAGCCGCCCTTCTTCAACGAGGACGCCCCGAAGCGCAAAGGTAAGAATAAGAAATCTGCTGTCGCCACTACCGAACCTCCAGCAGCAGCAGCAGCAGCAGCAGCAGAGGCGGCGCCGGCAGCGGTGGTGCCACCGCCGCCGAAAGCAAGCCCCAAGAACCAGGTCCTGGTCGCCGACTCCCTGGCCCTGCCCTACCGCGGCTCAGCCTTCGACTTCGCCATATCCATCGCCGTGATCCACCACATGTCGACCCGCGAACGCCGCCAGGCCGCCGTCGCAGCGCTGCTCGACGCCGTCCGTCCCGGCGCGGGCAAGGTCCTCGTCATGGTCTGGGCCCTCGAACAGGGCGACAGCCGGCGCGGGTGGAAAGCCGGCGCGGACCAGGACCAGCTCGTCTCGTGGGTCACCAAGGGGAACAAGACGGAGTCGCAGGAGAAGCCGCGGGATACCACTTACCAGCGGTATTACCACCTCTATCGCGAGGGGGAGCTGGAGGAGGACGTGGTGGCCGTCGGTGGTCGTGTGCTTGAGAGCGGGTACGAAAGGGATAACTGGTGGGCTATTTTCTGTCGTGATGCTTGAATTTACACATTGTGAAGAAGGGGAAGAAGAGGTATATCATGTTGAATAGACCCAAAAAAAAAAAAAAAGGAAAAACGAGGACATCGGAGACAGCAGTGAAAGAACACATGCGTACACAGACACACAAACAAAAAGAGACTTCATGATCTAGAGACCTGCAATTCTATCATGACCCGTAATCCCATCTCTTCATCAAGCGACATCTTGTTATTCTGTTTCTCTCGCTCTCTCGCTCCCGCTCCGGCGTTCCCACCCCGGCTCTCCAGCACTCAAAGAGACAATACATACATACGAAGTTTCCATGCCCGCCCAGACCATCACCATCACCATCAAACCCCCTGAGAGATACCAAAAAAAAAAAAAAGGAAAGGGGGGGGGGGGGGGGGGTTCGCCCATGCCCTTTGAAAAAAGAAATATCCCCCTCATTTCCATCCCACCTGCCGGGTACCGTGGAAACCCAACGGCAAAGAAGAAGAAGCTGTTTTTGTTTTCTCTTGCACATCCCGCTACCGGCTGAGAAATGTTCTGACAAAGGAACGGAGAAGAAAATGAGGAAATATTCGGGCAAGGGGGGCGGGGACTGGTAAAAAAAAAAAGTAAATGACATGAAGTAGAGTAATAAGAGACAGGAAGGGAAGCATAGTGTAGAATATGAAAAAAATAAAAATAAAAAAAACCTCTCGCTTGTGGACGAGGTCGCCTCCGCTCGTGCCGTTAAAAACAGAGGGATGAGGAGGAAAACGCCTGACTATCACAGGCGAGAGGGGGTATGGTCAAGCCCGCGGATATGCGCGTGCGTGTGTGGTAACGATGTTGTTGTTGTTGATATGAGAAGTAAAAAAGATGAGACAAAATTTTTGCTCCGATCCTGATGCAACATGCTGGTGTGTTCCCGCTCGTCGTTACCTGCCAACCCTCCCCGCAACACATAAAATCCGAAAAAACAACAAGATTCCTGGGAATTCCCCATGCTATCATAACTGGAAAAAATGGGGGGGAACATGTATGTTCGCCTCTCGTAACAAAAAAAGAGAATATTTTTTTCCCCAACTCCAGGTTCGCCCTTGCCACATTTGCCAGCCCTACAGTCATGCTATGCGTCGCCTTTCCATCTCCTCCTGCCGGGGGTCCAAATGCCGCCGTCGAGTCGTCTCTCGTGAGCTCATCTCCGTGCCTGGGCTTGCTCGTCGTTTCGATCCGGCTGGTTCATGTGGCGGGTAGTGGAGGGCAGGGAGTAATGGCCCCGGGCTTGCCCTCGCACTGGGCACGGGACTCGCCGTGGGCATGCCACCCATCGCGTACGCTGGGGTACTGTACGGGCTCACGCCGGTTGTCAGCTCGGCCACTCCCGGAAGCATTCCTCCACCTCGGCCCGGCGGAAGGGCTTGAATCGGTGCTAAACCGGGGCCGCCCGGCGGTCCGATACCAGCCAGCGTCACGCCCTCGTTCGGATCCGGGCCCAGCGGGGGCCTTCCTTGGATGCTTTCGCGTCTAGCAGCGATGGCTCGTCCGCCGGGAATCGGTGATATGCCCGGTGGCGGTCGACCGTATCTTGGGGAAGGTCCGCCAATGTCCCGAGGTAAACTCCCCTGGGATTGGGAGTGCATGTGGCCACGTGAAGGCGACTGCCGGTGACCGCCGCTCGGTTGATCGACGTTAACCGCGGTGAGGGAGAATGGAACAACGCCCGCTCGTCGGGCCATATCGGCTTCACCAAGTTGCCAATGCATGGCTTCTGCGGCACGCCAGGGTACCGCCATTTCCTCCGCAACTTTTGCCCACATTTCCGGCTTAAACCTAGATTCACTTATTAGCTTCTGCTCCTCACTCTATGGGTGACGGAGACTGCAGATCTGTCCTCCGTCGTCGATGTACTATCTCGTACCTTTCGTACAGCCGTGCGAGCTTATTCTTGCGCTCTTCGTCCCATTCGCTCCGCCTCTCGAGATAGTTCTGGTAATGAAGTCGGCAGCTAATGGCACTCCGCCCCGGCAGGCGTTTCGAAATATCCTCCCACTTCATCCCGCTCCCCCGGAGCTCAATGATTAGCGCATCCTCCTCCGGCGACCACTTGCTCTGCTTCTTAGCGGGAGACTCCGCTACGTGCGGCGGCATGGCGCGTTTGCCGCTCGCAGCCAGGCCCGTTGCTACGGGTGGTGGCGGGACATACGGAGGTAGCCCGCTGACAGGCGCTGTGGTCGCCGTGGTTGCGGTTGTTGAAGGGTCTGACGATGATCGGGTGTGCTGAGGAGGAGCAGCGGCGGACTCATCTGAGTCGGGGGCCTTCAGGAGAGACGCGATATCCACGGTGACGGTTTTGCCGCCTAGGTATGTGGGATACGGCCTTGTGTCATGGGCGCGATAAACGCGCGCCAGCTTTTCGGTTTGTGCGACGCCACCTAGAAGGCAGGCGGTTTTTAAAAATGGGGATGGAGGGGCGATGGTCGGCTCAGATGTTTACCTGGTTTGGAGCCGAATCAGATGTTGTTGGATGCTCGCCGGAAAGCTCTTTACTGGGTAGCTGGGTAAAAGTCGACTCGCTCGAGAAGGTGATTAAAAAAGAACCAGAGAATGTCGACAAACGGGTATTAGTGACGGTAAACCGTTGTTGGCGGATAGGAAGAGCAGTAGAGTTCTCGTGAGTCTGTGGTAACAGGACAATAGGCGGTTTTGACCTCGTGAGATGGGAAATGTTCCCGTGTATCTTGGTGGAGAGAGAGAGAGAGAAGGGGGAAAAGATCTTGAAAAGGAAAGAAGACCTGAGCTTAGATCAAGACGGCGGCGTAGCTGGCGTTTTGAAGGAAGTCATCAACATGATTGGGCCAGTCCGAGAGGCTGGTGACCAATGATCGGTGAAATGAGCTTGCCCGGTGGTGAAGCAGGTAGGCGAGCGAGCAGCGGGCAGGGCAGAAAAAAGGAGGGCGGCGGCGGAAGTATACGTCAGTCAAACTAGGCTGCTAGAAGTCTTCATCAGAAAGCGAAGCTTTGCCAGAGTCATCGTTCTCCTACGGAAAGTCGGTAGAGGCCAACGAAACAAGGTACAAGCCGGTCTACGTCGGGAACTTGCGGTTGCTGCAGATTGTGAATGGAAGAGAAAAGAATTAAAATGGATCAAGAAAGTAGTAATAGTTGGACGGACGGTGATGGGTTGAAGAGGTGGAGGAGGAGAGGTGGGGGACGGATACCGGGGTCTGATTAACACAGTGACAGCCAGGGCCAAAAAGACTCTTAAACCGACGAGAGGAAAGTCATCGAAGAAGGAATGAGAGAGGACACTTGAGTGGGAGCAAGGGAGGGGCGTGTGGAGGGGGTGCGTGAAAAAAAAAAAAAAAGAAGTGGAAGACAAAGTCAACGGGGCTAGAGTGACTGGCCAAGCAGCAGCAATGGTAGTAGGAGTAGTAGTAATAGTAGTAGCAGAAGCAAGCAACAGAGCGGGAAATAGCCACACCGCGGTTGTGGAGAAGAACAAGAGACGACGGGGAGGAGGAGGTTTGGGTAAGTAGTGTGCGTATGTGCGCGCGCGCGAGAGAGAGAGAGGTGTGTGAATGAAAGAGAGTGTGTGCTTGGTGTGTGTGTGTGTGTGTGTTTGGCAAGGGCACAGGTTGGTTAGGTTTTGAAAGCACACCAGCGGGAGAGAAATAGCCAGCAGGAAAGGTAGCCGGCCGACAGGAGCAGTGTACGTAGTAATAGGGCAGAACATATATGTCAAGCTCGCGTATAGGGAGTGAATGACGAGTGGCATATGATGGGGCCTTGTTGGTGCCGTCCGCCCCTTGCCTTACCTTGGCCAGTCCGTCTTTTTGCCCTGTCCTCATTGAAGAATGCGATGCGGTGGAGGTGGTCGAATAAGGCTCAGGAAGGATAACCTCACTCAGGCATAGTTTGGGAACCTACATGGATGTGCCAGTTGAGCACATGTTTGAAAGACACACGCCCCCCTCCCCAACCCGCAGCACACACACAGACACCAGGTGGCTGCCATGCTTTCTTTTCAAACCACACCCCCATGTCTGCTGCCCTGCCTAGTGTCTTGCCTGGGGCTTGCTGCTGGTGTTCTCCCGTAAGTCGACACCCTAAGCTGTAGCTCCTAGTTCGAGAGGGGTCCTGCACGAAAGAAGATGTAGAAGAGAGGGGGGAAACAGTAATCGCAATTCGACTCTTCTAGGCATCAAGAAAGAGAGAGACGATCGGTTTAGGTGCTGATAGTAGAATCACGAAACTCATGCATAAGTCTTCTAGTTGACCAGAACCCACAGTCTGTGGTCAGCTTGACCCAGCGCGTTTAATGCGATGTCCAAGCTAAATAAATCCAAGATGGGTCAAGTTGGGTGACAGCTCCTCCGAAGACGGAATCCAACAAAATGCAGATAAGGGTACTTGCCTTGGATGAGGTATGTTCGTGTCCATGCATAGCCAGACTTGGTCACAGCTCCCCTCATAGCAGCAATTCTGAGTTGGAGGCGGGTGGGAATCTCATCATTGAGGGCGTGAAGAGCACAAAGAAGACTGAGGAGGAGGGGAGGGGGGAAAGAAAGAGAGGGAAAAAAAAAAAAAAAAAAAAAAAAGGTCGTCAAGTGTGCAAGGCCTATCCATCGTCCCAGGGTCCCGACAGGGCCGGGTATTGGGCGGCGAGTGTGTGTTTAGGGCAAGACAAGAGTAGCGTGGAAGAGAAGACAGGATAGGAGAGAAGGCGGAATGTGGTGGACAGCAAGCAGTTCCCACGAAACCGCATACGGGTGTTGTGGAGCCCATGTTTGAAACCTGCGGGTGCTGATGCAGAGAAGAGTTGAGTGGACATGAGCTGGGTTTGGTGGGCTGGTTTGTGGATAGGATTCTCCTCGCGCCGGCTGACGATCTGCCTGGCAGCTGGCGGGGGATAGCCTCGTAAACTGATTCTTGTGACTCCGGAGCCAGCGGGTAGCTTCGTACTCGCGGACTCATGGTTCGCTAGTTCCCTGGATCCGGCACGCGCTCGCAGAAGTCAAATATGAAAGTATGACGATTTGCATAGCTGAGCAGCAACAGACAAGAGGCTAAGAAACAGTTCGAGAACCGGAGACAGGGACACCGGTGATACCGATGGGGAGAAGAAGGGATGGGGTCAGCCGGCCGAGCTGGAACGCCTGTGAGGGTTCCGATGCTTTGGTGGCCGGTCGGACATGCTTGAGGAACTGAACAGAAGTGTATGTGAACTGTGCTGACGCGCTGTGCACCGTTCTAGTCGCTTGCTTGGTTGCTTCGCTTTGGTTTGGATGCCCCCGCCGTTACCAGAGCCTGAGCCTGTACGGATGATACCTACGCCTGTGTGTACTGTGGCAGGTTGCTAAAATCCAATCCCAGCGTCCTTACGCTGTTCGCTGCCGATCCTAACGGGCTGAACGGGGGCCTGCTCGATCAAGCAATCAGGCTGCATGTCTGTCCTTGTGTCTTGGGCGGCTCGTCTTCCGCGGCTAGTGCTAGTGCCATTGACGCTCGACTGTGCAATTCGGGTTGACGAGCTGAGCTGGGTTGGCTGCAAAATAGACTGGCAATGCAGCTCAGTGCTGTGCTCTGCATCTGGCAACGGCAGCGGCAGCGGGAGAACAAGAGCGAAGAACAGTTGCATCAAGCCTGACGTCTGTGCGGTCCCAAATGGGCGTAAGATGAGGCTTGTCTCGACAAGGCCGGAGAGCCAACAGTCCACGTTGACAATGCGCCACTGCCGAGCGAGTGGTCGAAGGCGGTTGATTATCCGCAGGATGGTTGGGACTAGGTTGGCTTGAGAAACATTTGATCAATGCCCTTCATGCCTCGCCAAATTTCGAGGCCCGCGTCCAACCCATGGGCCATCCATGAACATGATGGTGAGCCAGGAAAAACCCTCATGGTGCCGGTTTATCTTGTCTTGCCTGTCCCCACGCCGTGTTGTCTGGTCCTTGCCATGCTTTGCCTCGCTTTGCTATGTGATACTCCCTCCTTGGCTTGGCCCTCAGGTCTGATGATGAACTGGCGGTCAGGTATGCAGCGCAGCTTGCAGCGTCCGTCCAGCAAAGCCTCCCAGGACCAGGGCGGTAATGGTCTGCCGTGGTGGTAGCCCAGCAGCTCAGGTATGAGCTTGCGTAGTGGCATGGCTGCATCAACTTGCCATGAACCATGATCGCCATGCAAGCCTGGGACATGCTTGCTGAATGCTGCGTTGGCTAGCGGCTTTTCCAGCAGCTCTTGTTTTTTGGGTGGTCGTCGCATCCTTGGGAGCTTTGCTGTTCCTTTCTGCCGCACCACCATCATCCATGATGACCATTTTCACCACCACCCACCCACCCGCTGCTCACGATACTGACATCGTCGTTCGCCCGCGACCAAGCCACATGCTGTCTTAATTGGGTCGTCTACCGTTTGTCTGTTGTCTCTTAGGGTCTCGAACTGCATCTGCAACCATCCTATCGGTGCCTGGCATAACGACGGCCCAGTACCTGAGAGAGCAACTTGGGTTAACGGAAAGAAAATGAGTAATAATATATTGTTTCGGGCCTGGCAAGAGGCGTGTACAATGAGATACAGGCTTGTCGCACAGAATTACTGATCGCGAGCACCTCGTTTTTCTTATTTTGGTTTTCCCCTCTCTTGTTCTTGTTCTTGTTCTTGTTCTTGTCAAGAGGGGCAACTAGGATAGAACACTGAATGTTCCGACGATGGGGTATTCCCCAGAAAGATGTTGCCAGTGGGATGAGTCAGGAATGCGGTGTAGAGTCAGGATAATGGAATTTACCATTATTATTAAAAACTTTTTTTAAAAAATAATAATCCAGTTCCCCCCTATTTTTCGTCTCGCCTGCGTGCAATTGTTTCCTTCGCACTCCTTCCACCCAGAGCACCTTCCGAACAAATGGCCCAGTGCTGAGGCAGGTGCTAAAGCAGGGGGGGGGCCATGCACCTCCTCGCTGCATAGCTCCTGCTATTCAAGACTTCCGGTTCTGATGCTATTGCCTCCTTTTGCATTCATGGGGCGCTGGTCACTTCCCCCTTACGCATGTTCCATTGATCATGACGGCCTGGCAAGGCAAGTGCGCTAGGATAATTTCTTCGTAACCTTCCGCTAAGGTAGGAAGCAGGTAATCAAAGTAAAGTTGTTTTTAGGATGAGGGACGGGGTACGTACGGAGACGAGGGCCATGAGGGGCAGCGGCAACCAGCCTGCAGAGCACCACCGGACAAATACTTTCCAGGTTCCCGCTAGGAAGTGCACATCACATAATGCTCCTTGGCGTATCATGCTCTTCCTTGCGTCACCTTCCGAAAGGTCACAGCTAGAAAATCCCATGCTACCTGACCCAGGGCCGGCATTGAGCTAACCTAGCTTCGTGCCTAGCTGATGACGGCTGGTACCCAATGTCCCGGACAGCTTGCCTATTGCCAATTTGGGCCTATCGGCCACCTGCCGTCTGGCGCGTAGGCATCAATGAGATTCCAGTGATGCCCTGCCCCAGCCACTCCTACTTGACCGAAGCTGACTATATGTGCCCAATGTCAATCGTCTCGAGGCCGTCGGCAACATACCTGAGACAACTCACCGCCGCTTGGCAGAGGCATCGGCTTATACGTTCTATGTTAAAGTCGGAAGAGAGAGAGAGAGAGATAGAGATAGCAAAATGCCTTCAATCTTAAGCACGACATCGTCATGACACGCATCAATGCCAACGACTCGCGCCCGAAATGATGCGTCAAGGCATCAGCTGTACTGAGCTCAGCTCTAGAAACTATCTACCTCTCGGTAGACGACACACATGCGGCTGTAAGTAAAGCGGCCGATGACCCGGCCAGCCATTCCCTCTCTGCCGCCAGCCATCCTCGCCGCCCATGTCGATGTAGTAGCGCATCAATCAAGGACCAGGGCCCTAAGATGCCGAGAGCAGATGCGCCGGAGTTTTGGAATCTACCTTAATCACCTACCCAAGGGCACGGCAGCAAGATGGCGACTGGCCATTTTAGCCTGCATTTGTCCCAACAAAGCGATTGAGAACATGACATTGAATGCACGCACGTGTTATCGTCTCGTCTTCGTTTGCATTTTGACATTGTAACCAAGCCCGAACCCGCTGCGGAGTAGCCATATTGAGCCACGACAGGACGATGCCATTTGCATCTTTGTTTGATCCGCCGCGGTTTGTGGGCCAAACCATTGATAGCCCAGCTGTCGTTATCTGCGTGAAGGCTGCGGGCACACAATTTAGTCACCCCCGTGCCGTCTACAAGTAAGCAAGTCAAGTGAGCTTGAGCGTATGTATGTCGTTTCCCTGTTGGTGGTGTCAGAAGAAGTGAGAGCCTATCAAACGACTCTCGACATCAGTGGCAGCCGCCTAACAATCCACAAGGCACCGCCGCTGGACTGGGGTTGCATTCCCTCTCGGGGGCTGACGTCCAAAAGGAATAATTTCATTGGAAATTCTCTTCGCTGCACTCCCTTGACTGTTTTCCCCCTTCGTTTGTTGACTTTGCATTACTACTACGGCCTTGCACGGAGAGCGTCTACTCAGGGGAGCCCCAGCCTTGGGAGGTCTAATCCCGTCACCAACACGAGACATTACACAAGTAGACTTTCCAAACCTTTTTAATGATAGTCCGGCAATAGACTGGAAACAAGGGCCAGGGTAACAATAACTGGCGACACGACTTCCAATTTTGTCGTCGGTAGGTTTTCCGACCTCCATAAAAGAGTGTGATATAGCCAGATGTGCTGTGCTGGCTATGCGCCGTTCCGAATCCCTGTCCCGGGACTGCCTCACCAGTTGTTCCCGCGCCATGACTGGTGTCGACGTCATGGGGAGATCTGCAAGGACGAACAGATTGACGGCCACGCCCACACGAGACGGGCGGATGGCACATATCCAAATGTTCAGGTCGAGGAGGGCTGGGGCAGAGACGGGGTGGCCAGTTTGATAGATGCACTCCAGATATCCCTGCTTTCAAATGGATGCCCTCCTTGGGCTGGCCTCACTCAAAAAGAGGCTTCACGTCTTATGCTTCTTCGTTGATCGTTATCCTCTGTCACTAGCGTTTCCTTCCGTCCCGAGAAGGGTGCAAGAGATCAGATTCGCACAAACTCGGCCAGCACAATGAATTGTCGGTGACACAAAGGAAACCCAACGTGGCGGTGAACGGCAGCCAACATTGCAGAACCGGATCTTTCTTGGGCATAGCGGCTGACCGCTGGCGGATCGGGTAGCAAGGATAGATCTGGCGCGCAGTGGAGGTAGTTTGCCCATGACAGATCAAACATTCAACATCGTCCAAGGGTTTGCAGATTCGATGCCATTGCAGTCTGTGGCTGGTCTACCCTCAGCTGACAGCCAGGATGTTGGCGATCTGAGGCCGCCATCGTATTGTCCACCTTCTTTCTCCAAGCCTTTCCAATAGTTGCATTGAAATTAACACAATGCCAATCTTTCTGGGCTATTGCAAGTTCGGACGCAAAAGGTGATTTGTGACGATGACGCATAGACAATCACTAAGAATTTTCCTTCATAAGGACGATGCAAGGATTCTTCTCGAAAAGAAAGCGCTTCGTGCCAATGGGTTTCTCCATCCCGAGTCCAACACAGAACATGCTCCGTGCCGCGCCCCGTCTGCGAGCGACTGTCCCATGCCCGCCCTGCGAGCAAGACTGGAGAATGCGATGGATGTGTGTATGTGCACGTTCACTGGTGTGTGTGGGTTATCATGATTCTGCAACGAACATGATCAGGAATGTTTCATCTTATTCGTTTGTGCTGTCCTCTCAGTGGCTGGATCATCATATCGCTGGCAGACCTGCACTAGAGCGGTGCATCTCTGGGGGATAAAAACATGGATGGATATGTACTGTGGCAACTCTGGCAGTGATGCGTATGGCAGTAGGCTGGTTGCACCTACATGTAAGAATGGCGAGGGGCTCCTTGGTCAATTCCGAATGGTCGCGATATGCGTTGCCTTTGCCCGATTCCACCCACCCACCATTTAGCCTTCCAAAGGGGTGCCGCTCCAATTCCGTTTGCCGCGCGTGGTTGTCGGCATGCTTGATGATACTACTAGTACCTACCATGTGTAGCAAACCAGGATTGAGCGGTAGAACGGACTATGTCAGACAAGACAAGACCAGACCAGACGGGTCTTTGCATGCGCGAAATCTGACGTTTAACTGCATCGATGCCGCTGTTGCGATGCTGTGCTTCCCGAGCAAACGGTTCCCGTGGATTGTGGTCTACAAACGGAGACTCGCCAATCATGCCAATGCCATTGTTTCTGCCGGCCGTAAGGTTAAACTTGTCTGAAGCGGCCTCGGACGGCTGCGCCTGATTTTTGTGTGACCATGTCACAAAGCCGGATTCTTATTTTTCTTGTATCATGCAGTAGAAAGAGTTAGCCACAGCCGATAAACTGTGTTGACAGGCTTCAATATGGTCGGTTCATGGATGTCCCAGCTTCAGATTCGGGTTGAGGCATTGCCGGGTTGGCCCGTAGGTAAGAGCGAAGCAAGGAGGGCTCATGTCCCGGTATGGCGTATATGCCGCGTTTGCATTTTCCTTGCTTCTTTTCTTTTCTTCCCTTTGTGTTGATGGTTGCCATTTGGCGGTGTACAGACAAAGCCCGGGTGAGTGTGAGAGGGTGAAAGTGTGGATGGGTTGACAAGTCATCACCGCAGGACGTACCTCTCCCGCCCGTAGGATCCTCACCCAAAACCCAAGTTGGGGGCGGAAGGTGCGGGTACAAAGACAGAGACGGTACGTATATATGTGGCTGAAGCATGAGCTGGCGGGTGGGGCTTGCTCTGGGCTAGATGAGTCATTAGGCTCACACCCCCTCCGTTACCCGCTTCTTGGGTAAGTGAGGCTTGAGCCGTCCCCACGTTCTTGACCGAATTTCGCCCATCTCACACATTTCAGGCACACGACAACTCAACCACACCTCAACTTCTGGAGCCCGACCTGACGGGAGTCACGCCTTCTAACAACACCCAACGTCACCAGACAGAATTTCATACCCTACTTGCCTGACCGACCCTCTAAACCCTAATTGCGGTGGTCAGTGGCAAAACCGTAGCTTTCCTAGAGCGGCCTAACGAGCGACTGGGTCGTGCGTCTGACTTGCATACGGCGGGACTATCCAGCCCTACTGCGCATTGCTTTCTTCTGAACCAACGAAATATTGCCCGGTTTACACCTAAGACGCTTGGTTCTTGAACCCTGCTGCTCCATCACAACACCTTCGGTAACATTTATCAAGCAAATACGTTCTCTTCATCCCCGGGGACAGCACGAGCCCTACGCCGGAACGCCCAAGAGACTCCGCGACGCCCCACGTGTTCCTTGCAGCCAGGCAGACCCTTAGCCCAATTTCCTCTTCACTCAGGCCCAGAAGTCAGAGAAAGTCACCCACCATGGCGGACGTTCCTCTGCAAGTCATTTCGGAAAACTCGTCGTCAGAGCGTCGTATCACCCCATCATGGACCATCAGCCAGCTCAGGTCGAAGCTGGAGCCCATTACGGGCATCCCGCCTTCGTCCCAGAGAATCAGCCTCAAGACGGCTTCGGGTAGCATTCCGATTGAGGCAGCTGACGAAGACAACGCACATTTGACAGCCTTCCCACTTGCCCCCTATGCGGAGCTACATGTAAGTAGGGCCTTTCCCAACCCACATGTTCTTTTCAGCTCGCTCATGGCGGCTCGATCACGCTTCGCCATGATAGGGTGTCCTGGCCGCCATTGACAAAATATACGTTTATTATGGACCATGTTCAGTCCAGTGACAAAAATGAGGCGGTATAGTTGCCGCCCGATTCTTCCCACTCACTTTGAGGCCTCCTCGAACGATGCCTTACGGTGTATCCAAGGGTTTTCTGCTTTCAGGAGTGCCCTTTTGGCTGACATAATTTATCGTCAGGTGGCAGATACGCGGCCGGCAGGAGCGCGCCCGAACTTCACGGACACTTCGGGTGTTGAGAAGTATGTTATGCCGGAGGAGGAGTATGCAAAAAAGACCGACTCTGTTTTAGCATGGAAGAAGGCTCAGAAGCTTGGTCGCTTCGATCCCGAGGCGCCAAGCCTTGAGCAAGCCAAGGTTGCTGCCCTTCAGCAGGAGATTGAGCAGCGGGGAATTGAAGTTGGCAAGCGGTGCCGAGTAGGCGGCGAGGACTCCCGCAGAGGTATCATCAGATACGTTGGCGAAGTTAAGGAAATCCCCGGGGGCTTGGGACCCTGGGTCGGAATTCACCTTGACGAACCCGTTGGAAAGAATGACGGCAGCATCAATGGGAATCGTTATTGGGGCGAAGAGTCGACGCTGAAGCACGGTGTCTTTGTAAGGCCCGAGCGGGTTGAGGTTGGCGATTGGCCGATCCTTGACGACTTGGAAGACATGGAAGAAATCTAAAGGAACCGCACTTTCGACGCCGTTGCTACCGCATTTGGTGTTCATGGCGGCGATATGACCAGTTGGTCGCGCGGCCACGCGAGAAGAACGAACTCCGTTTCTTCTCTGGAACATTCCCCAGTTCAAGTCCGAATACAAACTTGAGACGAACACGAACGTGGAAGCTCAGTCATGCGTTGTGCCCGAATTCGAACTTGTTCGCGGAAACCAGTGACCAGTGCCTGATGACAAACCGGTAAGGGGGCGTCAATGCAGTAATAACAACATTCGATGCTTTATTCCCTTTCGAGTACATGGCCCTGTGTGTAAGACGGTCTGCTTGGAAAGTGTGGTAAGGGACTAGACCAACTCTGTAACAAAGATATCAGACGAATGTCCAAGTCCTTCATTTTCCTGAAAGCCTCGTTGCTTTCTCCTGTTTTCGGCAGATTTTCAGATGAACCGGCTGTGTGGCTTGGGTTCGCTTCTGTTTTCTAGAAACCGGACTTGAAGAAGTTCTCGTGCCAAAGAATCAGAACTCGCTCCCGCCGGGGTCAAAGTCTCCGCGCCGGACAAGGCGGCATAACCAAGCATGGCTCTGCGACCGGCTGCTTCCCGAGCCACGTCGTTGCGCACAATGCTCATCCACTGGTTTAGACATCCGAAACCAGGGAGCTGTTGGCGAACGCCTGCCGCTTACCAGACTGATGATGTGGGTTGGTCGGATGAATGTGTCGACACGTTCAGCAAGTTTACAGATATCGTAGCAGAACTGGGGCAAAGGCATGGCGTCAATTTTTCGAAAAAGGATACGCACGCCGCGGTGGTGAGTGTTCATTATATCAACTCACGTTCGCTTTACAAGAACACCTTGGCCAAACTATCATCTGGAGCGGTTCTCTACCTCACACTAGCAAGAGAAGAACGGCTATTAAACTTCATCAAGGGAAGGCTCATCATTCCCTTTTTCCCATTTCAATATTCGTAACTCTGAATTCGGGTAATGACCTCACCACAAAAGGGTCCGTTCCCCTCAGCGTGACTCGATCGTGGCAAGAAATCGAGAGGCACGTTCTCAATGCCTGGAACTTCCGACGAAGGGTAATAGGGCACAAAGGTTGTTCAGGAAAGAGCGAGGCAGAGTTAGTGAATACGAACGGAGGAAGCCAGTAAAAGAAATAAAGGTAAAAAAGACAAAAAGCTTGCCGCCCAGGGCTTGGCATAAATATTACAAGTCACGCCAGTATCCCGTCCAATGCCAGTCAAGCCATACCGAGTCTTTGTAACTCTAGAACGGTCTGGAGGGGGGCATGAAATGACAGGCAAGTGCCGACCTCGTGCCGGAAGTGTGTGTGTTTGTGTGTGTGTGTTTGTGTGTCTCTACCTCCTTCTCTCTCTGCCTCTCTATGCGGCTCGGTCTAGAGAGCGGGTGGGAAAAGACGGGACTATCTGGGGTAGGTTCGACAGTCTGAATCTTGGCCCGGCCGGTCAAGGATCCGGGATGAGCAGACTTTCTCAGACGCAGCATCTGTCTGAGCCAGAACTCCGACCGCCTGGTCTAGGTCCCATGAAGAACCATAAGTGTGGCCAGTGGCCGGCATGTTATCCTTTTTCTTTTCCCCGATGATTCTTCCCTCTTCCTTCACCATGTCATGGTTTACAAGGGCTATGGGGCGGCACGAGTTTCTGGCTCAGTAGGAGCAGTCATTTTGCTCGATCCTCCACACATGTATGATCATGCTACGTGAAGGTTAGAAGAGAGCTGTGGAGGGCACGTGGAAAGCCAATTTAGATAAAAGTAGACATCGGGAAACTGGACGACATGGGGTTTTCTGTTGGGTGGTTAAGCGTGGGGATGAGTTTGGCATCTGAGACTGAACAATGGTCGATCACCAAGCACGACAGAGACGAGAAAGTTCCGAGGCAGCCGAATGGGGGGGTGTGTGTGATGGGCGAACCACACAAACGCTCTGCATTGGCGCGGCGTTCGTCCAGGTCGACTAAGGGTTGCTATAGTGGCGAGTGGGATTTGCCTCAGAGTGCGAGTGAGATCAATGCGGATAATGCAACGTCAAACGTTGTGTGGCCAGTTAGGACAGGTCTTCCATCCATACCGACAACAGATTCCCTTCAGAGTTCGTCTATGGAATGACGATGGAAGCTTGGTGTTTGACGTCGGAAGTGTGTGCCGGATAGCGTATAAAGACAACCGGGATCTGGCCGGCTAGAAATGTCTCGTTGTCCATTTGGGACCTCATCGTCTTGTCCAAAAGAGGGGGGCTGGCCACAGTGAGTGTCGCGGAAATGCAGGTTTGCCGGGCCCGAATGGGGGGAGATAGAGTTGAACTAAGAGGTAAATCAGCCTCTTGCCTGACGAGATCGCGAGACTTTTGAGGGGTGGTGAGGTTGAAGGGGGGGGGGGGGGGGGGGGGGGGGGGGCGGGCAAAACACCGAAGAAGTTTTGCTGATCATACGAGTTCGGAGGCGAGCCATCAGTGGGTGTCTGGCGACTATCGTGGCTATGAAATTCGGCCGAATTGGTCAAGCTGATGATCTGCAAAGCACGCTCACCGCCTCAGTGGTGATGTGGCACCCCAAGGAAGACTGCGACGGCTGCGTCGAAATATTCTGCAGAGTGGCAGGAGAAACACATGCGCGGCGGGGAGATGCGGCTAGGGCATATTACATATCGGTAGGAGGCCGAGGAAGCCGCCCCGGAAAGAAGCCAAGTTTCCGAGGTAGCCGGGAGATCTGGCATAACCTGCTGTTTGGAACTCAGGAGTTGAAGGCTCGGGTCCAGGCCCGGATCTCTGAGGATAGGCCTGGACTCCAGCAACAACACTAACGAAACCAGCAACTTGAGCCGAGACGCGACGGAACTATGTCACAAGTCAAGCTGGTCCAACCGGTATGGTTAACCCATGAAGACGATACCAAACTGCCGATGGCCGTGGAACGAAGCTCAAGGGATCACCCCAATGTATCTCGTTTAGCCAACGAAAATCTGCCGCACAAGGCTGAGAGACGTGTTCCGTCGAGAGTAGTCTTGATGTGTGAAATTGAAAGAATGATGGGCCTCTTAATAGGGATGGTACTTGTTTGCTTGCGAACCACCAAGTTGGATGGTCCCCGGAGCCGAACTAGAGACAGTGTGGCAAGAGAAGCGCGAGTGGTGGGAATATAGCATTGAGCTTTATCCGTTTGAGTTGCACTCAAACGGGGCTCACCGTCTCAGCGTGCGTCGGAGGTTTTGCGAATCGCTGATGCCCCGTAAGGCGATCAATCTACCACACACAACTGGCTGGCCTCTTTTGTCGCATCCACTCAATTTTAGTGAAGAGCTGAAGAAACTCGGCCCCAGGTTTGCGACAGGCAACGAGTAGAACGGGTTGGGATACATGGATTGGAGGATTTTGTGCAATTGGGTTTTGGAGGAGCTGGGAAATGGAGACATTATGAAAGAATGAGAGGCAGCAGCATCATGCCCTCCTTCCTCTTTCTTTGTTTTGCTCCAAGAATTACAGACACTGGTAGTACGTAGTAGGAGGGAAGGAGCAAGGGTGACCGGGGCCGCGAAGGGCCGTGCTTCGACTCGGAAACCGGCGAGAGGCGTCACAGTCACAGGGCAGTCTCGAAGTCTGCCAAGACCGGGTCCAACGGTTGCATCTGAAGCGTTAGCGATCAGCACAGAGCCCTGAGTGGAAGCGGCTCTGTACACTACGTACTACGTATTAGTATAACACGCCCCCCAAACACGCAGGGGATTGATTACCTCGAGCCTCAAGTTTTGGAACGCGAAAAATAACAAAAACCAAAACAGTAGAAGCTTGTTTAGCGCGTATCGCTGGACACGGGGTGGGGGATGGTTGCTTCAATCGCCCTCCGTCTACCTCCGCATCATCTCAAAGTGAGGCTCTACTCGATGCGACTCGTGTTCGCGTGCCAGAGGCAGATTGAGGCCCGGTCTTGTGGTTTTGTGGACATTGTCATCTTCACATCTTGGCATCTTTGTTGGCATGGCAAGTGGCCAGTGAGCGAGACCGTTGCCACGTTATGCCGTTGCGCCCCAGCAGAAGCCTAAACTGGACTTGGCCATCTTTGGTTTGAAGTCAGACCTCTTTTCCCCTTACTGTTTTCCTCCCACCAAAAACGCTGAAAAAGCCGCCAAAACGTGGCAGTAACAATTGCGGTCTTGTGGTGGCACCCGGCAAGGTGAACCTTAACAGGCCTTTGGGTCGGGGAGTTAATAATTGTTCCGTGCGGCACGGCAAATTGATTCAAGAACAGAACAGAGGCCCACCTGCCTAGGAAGGCATGTAAACTAAAGCCTGAGGATTATTACAGCGGCGTCTCGCAACTGGAGTCTGGAGTCAGCAAGTCTGGAGTTGTGAGCTAAGCCACCATAGTAGACCCAGTCAATGTACCTCCCCACCAAGTTCAAGCGTGGCGGATACCTCAAGAAGGTTTTGCGTGAGGCATTCCGTATTCCCGCGGCAAAACTCAGTTTACGTCTGCCGGGACAGGAGAGCCAATGAGGGAAAGACGAGGCAGAAAGGCAAAGGAAATGAGAAGGAAATAGCGGCCTCATTAGGTCACCAAACACTGACAGCAAATCGAGCCTCACTTGCGACACCTGAAAATCAGACCAGGTTCATCTCAGGTCTTTGAGGTGTGAGTTAAGGTGGCTTAACGGACGGCATAGCGAAGCGGGTTGGTGGGGGTTGTAGCGTGGATTTGTGGCTTTTTTGACATCTAAAACTCGACATCTGCTGTCACATTTTGAGGCTCTGTTGTTACTTGTTGCTACATTCTCTCTCTCTCTTATCTATTTTTCTTCCCACCCTCCGCTGCTGTCGGTGTCATTTGCCAGCGAGCTCGTCTTTCTCCGGAGATCTGCGAGTATCCGTGGAAGGTTGCTAAAAACAGAAGAGAGAGAGAAACGTACTCGAAATTGTCCGGCAATCTCTTATCAGCGATACCTTGTCCTTGGTGCTGAGTCGCCTTATCTTGCGGAATCCCCGTCCTTCTGCTGCAGCTGACCAAACCTCCCGGGCATGCCTGTGGCCTGTGTCACTGCGACTGAGACCAACCTCCGCCATCACTTCCCCCACATTCGTCTTGGCACTCATCCACCTTTCCTACTGGATTCTGTGTGTGTACTGACTCTCCCTGCCCTTCCTCCACCCTCCCTGCTGCCGTCACTACCGCTCCCATTACTTCCGGTCACTTTTGTCTGCTTCTTTCCCGCCTTTCATCAACAGCCACGAGACCATAACGTATTCCCTTTATACACTTCCGACCCGGCCGTTCCTGTCGTCCAGCCTTGTTTTTCTCTTTTGGCGCCGACATCACGCGAGACCACAACGGCAACGACGACCACAAGCCACCTAACCGTCCGCTCCCATTGACGGCATAGCGCATTTACCCACAGCCGCATTAGCTCGGCTTCGACGATCAAAAACCTTGGGAAATCCGGAAGGGAGAAATAACGTCCATCTGATATTCACGGTTCCGAGGAAATGTGACACGCCAATCCCCCTCATATTCTTCTTTCAGACTGCTAGCGAGCGAACCCGACCACACACGTCTAGTCCTGCAAACTACTGCATCGACCCTACCGCACCGCACCGCATCGCACCGCACCGCACTGCATGCCCTTCCGCACTGCGCTTCCTCCATCGTCAACTCTTCGGTTTCCACTTTTACTCCTCTGACATCCGTGTCGACTGTCATTTCACTTCGAAATCCTAGCTGTCATCCGAAAATCCCATTTCTTTTCCTCCGTCCGCACCAGGCGACGTCGACCGTCGCGCGAACGTGAGAGAGAAAGGGAGCGTGGAGTCAACAAGCAAACATGGCTCGTTCTATGCTGCTAGGCCTGGCCTTGGCCGCCGCCGCCACCTTCAACTCGGCTCGCGCTGCCACGATAACGTCTCAGAATGACATTCCCTCCTGGGGCCAAAAGTCAGCAATGCAGCTGCAGCTGTCTTCGGCTGCTGGCGACGTTGTGCCTTTGACCTTCATCGTCATACCTTCAACACAGTCGCTGGGATTGAACCAATCCGAATTGGTCCGCGGGGTACGACATGTGTCTTGACGGCGACGGGAATCGTCCGTTGTCTGAAAATATTAAACATGGCTAACATAGCAGCAGGCAATCCGCATCGAGGGTACTATGGTTTCCGCCACCACTGCCAACTACAATTCAATCAATTCGCAAAACCAGATCGCCTACCTGTCCTGCGACAAACCCGAAGGCGGTGGCTTCATCACTCCGGACATGATGCTGAGCACTCTTATGGAGAAGAAGCCGAAGGCTATTGTCCTGTACAGCACCGTTGGGAACTGGTGTTCGTTGTCCGGCGAGGTCCCCTACCAAAGCATATTCACGATGGAGGATGCTGGAGATGCGTCTCAGGCTTTGCACATTCTCAATGGCACAAACGAGGTCGACATACTCAGGGTTACCATTACAGGAAACACGACAACTGACGGCCGCGAGCCTGGAGGCGCTCCAGGCAGTAACAACTCAGCGGTTGCCATGAGTATTCTCTACAGCATCACTGGTCTCATTACGCTGCTATTTCTCATCATCATCGTCACGGGTGCCGTCAGGGCCCATCGTTACCCAGAGAGGTACGGTCCTCGGAGAGCGCTCAATGGCCGTCCACGCCAAAGCCGTGCGAAGGGCCTTGCCCGTGCCGTCCTAGACACCTTGCCTATTGTCAAGTTTGGAGAACGTCAAGATGGAATACCGAAGCCGGACCCTAGCATTGAGTTGGAGAACGCATCAGCCGTTCCCACGAACGAAAGGGGCGTGGAAAGCCACGACGAGCATAGGCAGCATGACTCCGTCCCAGCAAATGCCAAGAGCACTGAAGCGACAACGTCTACGACCACTGCCGTTGCCCCAGAAATGATAGGCGCTGCAGTCACGACCACAACCAAGGCCGCGGCTCCTGCTGTCACGGCCAAACCGGCAGAGACCGAGAAGCCTGGCGGTGTGCAGCAAGACGAGGCGAACCTGGGCTGCACTATCTGCACGGAAGACTTTTCGGTTGGAGAAGACGTGCGAGTGCTGCCTTGCAATCACAAGTTCCACCCCAACTGCGTTGACCCATGGCTGGTCAATGTCTCGGGCACCTGCCCTCTCTGGTGAGTACAAGCCCAATGTCCCCATGTGAATAATGTCGACGCGCTTTTGCGCATGTCACACAAATACGTTTATGTTTACTAACATGCGCCAGTCGTCTCGATCTTCGGCCACAAGGTGACAATACTGAGAACCCCACTGAGGAGCTGCCACCACCTTTGGAACTCGACGGACACGAGACAGACGGGTCCTCGACCACCCAGAGACGGCCAGGCCGGTTGTTCGACCTCAATAGGTTAAGGAATGCTTCAGCTGAAGAGCGGATCCAGGCCTTGCGGCAGTACAGGACACAGCAGCAAAGCCAGGGTGAAGCGGAAGAAAGATCTGGCGCCGAGCCTGATGAGAGGAGTCGCAGGGCGAAGTTGGCGGACAAGCTCCGTGACAAGTTTCGCATCCGAACAGGGCCGCAACCATAGGCGGCCCTAACGAAGGCCAACCACCTCAACAGACCAACGAGGAATCGAAAGGTCAACATAGTATTCAGAGAATACGGAAGAATATTGATCAATGCAAATGACGAAGGGCCAGATGGCCGACAGAAACAGCATATCAATTTGTTTTGATGATGCAGGAACCCGGTCAAAACCGGTTTGGAAGTGGGCAAGGACCCCCCTTTTTTCACTATATGACATATAGACATGGGCGTTATGGGAACAAAACTACACCGGCGGATATTTCAGCATGGAACGGAGTTATGTGGGCATGGTATTATGACGGGCTGGGTAACCGGTTAACTTTTATTCTCTCGGACAAGAGAGGAGGATTGTACAGCTAGGGACAAGAGGACTATAACGCTCTTGGCATCGACTACGGAACACATACATAAGGGAGGGGAGCTCAGACAGAGCGATATCAAGGGAACAGAGGCCAGTATGGATAGCCATGAAGCATTCACCCACAATTGATTGAAGCAAGCAAGACTTTTGATAGCATTCACAATCGCAGAGATGCATAGCTAGACAAGACGTACGTAGGTGAATGACGATTTGAGTACATGACTCGACTAGCGGTATTGATGTGATCTTGGCAGGCTGAGATGAGGGTTGGCGAGCCTGTCCTGGGAGAGAGACGTCGTCCAACTTACGAATGGGTTCGGGAAAGCCAACAGCGACGGGTTAGCCGCACGGCGGCGGCGATGTGTCGAGATTCTAGGCGATCCATTTCACCCATTCAAATCCAGGCTTGGCTGGAGCCAATGGTCTTTTACTGGTTGTAGGGGTGGGGGGGGGGCATTGAGGCGCAAAGAATTTGTCAAAAATAAAAGAGCTCTCCGAGTAAATTCTCGTCTTCTTTTTGGTTGAGATGTGTCGCAGATCTTCGGCCGATAGATCAAAATTGATCAGCCGGCTTAACCCCGTTCTATCACGATTCGCTTGGTTGTCTGGGCGGTGGTGGTTTTGGTGGCTGTTGTGGCGGCGTCGGCGTCGGCGTCGTCGGCGGTGGTGGTGGTGATGGGGAGGGGGGGAGTGAGATGCAAGAGCGACGATGGACGGAAAGGATCAGCAGCCGCGGTATCGTCTACTCTATCTATCCGGTTGGCAAAACAACTATCGAGAGGGCCACGAACGGCCGGCCCTCTGAAGTGCGGGAAGGGGGCCTGTTTGTCTGGTGCCTCGCTTACCTCGACTAGCGGGAGTGATCGTCAGGGGGAGGAGGAAGAAGAAGAAGAAGAAGCTTGGAGCAGAGGGTCGGCCGGGCACCTTTGGAACGAGGCCGTCCGCGATGCCCGGATAGTTAGGAAGCTACGGGGCGGGGGGGAGCCGTTTAGTTCCCTTACGAATACTATACTATTGTTCTCACCCCCTTTTTTTTTTTACGCTTGTTTCCTGAGATGGTAGTCGTCGCCGCGGATGACAGCTTTAAGGCTAGACTAGTTAACGGAGCTGGACGATGGTTCAAGAGGCAAGGTGACGACGGTGGGAACACAAAAAAAAGGGGTGGGGTGTGTGTGGTGTTTTGTTACTTCCATTTGACGGTGGCTGAAAGCGCCCTTTATCGTGATGGGCTTTGTCGCTATTGTCGCGGGCGCGGAACTACTGGTTTTGAAACGGGCGGTTTCCGTGTCGTCTTTAATTTTTTATTAATTTTTTTATTTGGATTTTTCTTGGTGGAAGGGGTCATGTTTTCCTAGGGATGAAATGGGAGAAGGGGATTACGGTTGGCTTGCAGACTGACGACGCCTCCGTTTCGTCAATAGTGAGATTTTGTCTAGCATTCGTGATTGCAGGCTGGTACTGACAAGTTTCGACCAGGTAGGAAACGAAGCTATTCCCCTTTCTTTTTTTGCCCTTTTCCACCCTGTCGCCTTCTCTAGGTCAAGGCGTGGACGCTGAAAGATGTGAGTCGGAATAACCCGTCGCTCGCCTTCTTTTGTTTGGGGGGGTTTTTTTTTTTTTTGGTCTTCTTCCTCAATTGAAGCCTTTCGGTAATATCCCCCCCTGGCTGGGGGTATCGTGGGCTTTGACGTCTCAAATTCGCCCATGAGGCTGTCACTCTGGGCAGTAGTTCTCCCACAACACCATCCGCGATGAATAGGGTTGTAGCAGGGTCGGTTTTGAGTAATATGGGGCGTCGGGGACGCACAAAGGGGATTGTTGTGACCGTCGCGGAGGCACTCCTATCGAGGATGCTGGTTCTGGACCATGCCTACTCGGACATCACCAGATAGATGGTGTCTCGGAGGTTTAGAAGATTCTAAAGGAGGGCCAGCGGTGGTGGAAGGGCCCCCCGGGAGGGGCGATGAGCACATGGTTCGATTAGAACAGCGGCAGAATCAACGTCTTGATATTCCATTTCCTTCTTCTCGTATGTTCTCTGCCCAGACAGAGTTCAAGCCCTCCCGTACGAATGGCGGGCGTATTTCCCACATGTCGCACGCGTGTGTTTCCACGCATCTCAGCCTAGGCAGGCAATCTCAGTTTCTAGTCGCGGGCGAGAAGGGGAGGGATGCCACACAAACATGGCCGCCCGCCTTCAGTGGACTTTTTTTTTTTTGTCATTATTTATTTTTGGGGTCCGCGAGGAGGGGAGACAGAAAAGTAGCCCATCCACACACGCACACACTGCAAGAATGAGACAGGTATGTCTTGGACACCTTACTGGACCCGCCGCATCGTATGGAATGGAACAAGATGAACGGCCGCCCGGTAGCGATTCGATCGTCTAATCGGGCATGACGGGGGGAGATACGCTTCAGATTAAAATAAGAATCAATAGTTAGCCAAGCCGAGGAGCGATAGTTGAAAGATTTGAGATGGAAAGGCTTCTTCTCGGCGTTACTACACGCAACGAAACCAACTGCCGATTAACAAACTCCCCCAACAAAAGGTATTTTTTAGTTTGTTTGTTGTACTCTAGTGAAAACAAGACAAATATGCGAAATGAGAGAGCTATCGATAAAAACCAGTATGGCGCGTCGTGGACCCTGGAAAAAAAAAAAAAAAAAAGGGGACCTTGTTTGACCATTGGGTGCTAAGATGAGCTACAAAGGCAGCTGGACATCACGAAGGCCTCACTTAACTGGCTAAACCCTCCCCCAGCTTGAGCGCCCGAGCGCTGGGCGTGGCTAGCGAGGTGTGGCTGAACAAGACGACGACAGTGTCTCAGTAGCCCGTGACGATCGAGCCAAGCGGATTGAGAGCCGCTCTTTTCTTTTGCTCGCTTTAATTTTTGCTTTTTGCTTCCACTTTGGTGGATTTCTGGTCTTGAACTAGACAAAATTGTAGGAGCCCTTCTTGCTCCCTTGGGAGAATACGTTTTCTGACCGCACGGGCCTCTTGCAGTCCGTCGAGGCGACGACGACGGAGGGATTTCTTGGGGCTGCTGTCCGTGTTTGCCTCGGGAAAAAAGTGGCTTTGGCTCTCGGACCTCGCACGGGGCGGGGGGCCCGTTAGAGCCCCTGTCATTGGATGTCTGTGTTGGCACAGTTCGGGAAGAGTGGGGCTCTATCTTCACTTTTCTCCATGGTTGGCCCGTTGGTTAGCTGGTATTCCTCTAAGAGATACAGTCAGTGAGTGAGTGGGAGACGGAGAGGGAGAGAGAGAAGGATACGGCCATCAAAGTAAGGTTCGGTCCCTGCGCCGTCTTTGGGTGGTGCTCGGATGACGACCAGTGGAGTCGACGAGGCGCCCAATTTGTCTGTCCAATGACTGGTCATTTCTGTATGTCTGTCTGTCTGTCTGTCTGTCTGTCTGGTGCTGTCTGCGGTCCACGGTCCACTGACTACTGTCTGCTATGCCTCACAACTTGCTTATTCTGCACTCGTGTCTACAGACTTGTCTCTCACTGATACCATACTTGCGGGGCTTGGAACAAGGCCCTGTTCGTCACACTCTAGACTCCATACAACCAACTCTTCACGGCCGCGTGTTTTTGTTTTTTTTTCCTACTCATGTCTCGCCCGCTTTTAGTATTTTCTTCTTTCCCATCATGTCTCTCCTTCGGCAATTGCAACCGCGCCCCATCGTACGTTGCGTTTCTGGGGTCAAGTTTGTGTTACGGGGATTTTACGTCGCCGCACACACCATTTCCCCCCCTACCTTTCCTCCCCACCCCCCACCACCACCACCCCGGCTCCTACCCTCGTCTGCCGCCCTTCCGCGCATGATGGGGCGGCACAGCTAGAATGCAACCTCAGCTCGGGGCCTCGTTTCTGGGAGTGACGGCAGACACTACCATTTCCTCAACCGCAGTAACATCGTGCGTTGCAGCGGGAGCACGGGAGAGGCAAGCACTTTTTGATATTTCCTCGGGCCCAAGTGTTTCCTCGAGAGTCACGGAGACGCGCCTGGCGTACAGACGGTGTTAGAGATGTCATTAGATAGATCCTTCCTAGCTATAGATGGGGGTGGGGAGGAAATACAGCAATGAGCTAGCAGAGACGGCGAATGGGCTCCCGGTGTCGGTATATGCAGGGCGCTACTGCCATCTGCGCGGCGGGTGCACGGTGCCCTTTCCCTCCTTCACTTCACCCAGCGCTATTCGTATCTGCTGCCACCACTTCCAATTGTCAAGTACAATCGTCAAAAAAAAAAAAAAGCACCAACACTTTGCAGAAACCATTGTAGAGAAAATCAAGACTCGGGACGAAACACATATCCTCTGCGGGTTATGCCATGTTTTCCTGTGCGGCCATTGCGCCCATACATTACCTCTGGAGCGCTCCGGAGGTCTCACCATCTCACTATGTTCCTCTCAACCTCTCTTTCCCATCGATTTGTTTGGCCAGATGTCATCTCGCTGGCTGTCATCTGGATGCTCGAAACGACGCTCGGCCCGCCACCTGAGGCGGGAGGAATAGGAACTCTTTTGGCGCGTTGTTTGCAAAGCTCGGTGCGGACCTAGCTCATCACGTACACCATTCTCATGTGAGAGCTTTGCAGATGGCTTACCTTTCTTTGCTGGACATTGGGCGTTGCCCGCATGATGTCGAACAGAACAAGCCGGCAGGCAGGCTATGGCGCAGGGCAGCATAGACAGACGCCTCGACGCCCGTGAACCGTTGTTTCTTTCTTCTTTTTCTCGTTTTGATGCCCTTCTCGAAGTGCGTAATATCCAAGGGTCTCTTTTCCAGCTATGCCTTGACGGCTCAGCTCAAACGGTCGACCGAACTTTAGATCTCGAGTACCCCACCCACCATCGCTCTGCCTGCTTGCCAACAAAGCTCCTACACCAGCACTCGGGGTGCAAAAATAATGGCCGCTTTTACCCAGCCCACCCACCCACCCCTCCCCTCCTAACCTAACCTTTCCACCACCACAACCACGAATATGCCACCACACTACGATACGCCAACAAAAGCCCGTTTGCGAGGCGCTCAAGACTTCCTCGATAAGAAGGGAATTAAATACAAGAAAAAGGAGCTATATGCCTATTTTGGCGTGAGCGAGAGGTCTGGCAGGCGAATCCTCTCTAATGAAATCTCTGCTTCCGACCGTCGCCACCATAACGACCCTACCCTCCTAGAAACTCGTGGGCGTAAGAGGCTTTTCGACGAGACAGCTATGAATGCTATTGAGCAAATGCTTGATATAGAGGGCTTTGAGGCAAGGCGATTTGTTAGAAGTATAAGTATATTATACTTCTATTTTACTTATTTATCCTATTTAGTCTTATCTAAGACTTAGTAGGACTTACAAAAGTAACTAGCTAAGAATGGCTGCTTGCTAGTTTAAACATATGACATTCAGATCCCTATGGAATACTCTCTTTAACCTTATCTAAAAGTCTATTTAGTTAAAGAAGATTCTAGTCTGATTTATAAGCTGCTTTATAAGCTAGTTGACGTATATACTTACGTATACTAAACCTAGCTTATAGCTTCCTATATTAGCTATTATAGGCGACGTTATACTACTATATAACTAGCCTAATTCTCTCCCTTAGCTAGCTATTAGTTCCTCAACCAACTCAGCTTCAATATAAGCCTATACATTCTTTACTATTAAAGCCCTACTTCATAAGTACAAGTTCCCTTACTCTAATACCCTGTTATAAGGATATCGTACTATCTACGAGATTCCTACCTACCGTTCCAACAGGTTATGAGCCCAGCGGAGTAATAACTTTACTTATTCTTTTATCCTCAACTCTTCGGTTATTAAATATCTTAAACTCTATTTTATTCCTATAAACGATATAAGTTTTAGGAATTTATATTTATTATTCTTTTAAACCGTATATTATTATAACGGTTATTATTATAACGGCTATATTCCCCTAAGACGAAAAGTCTAAAACTTTAACTCTATTCTAGTACTATTAAGGCAGACGAAGTGTAAGTCCTTAGTACTACTAAATACGAGACTATTAAGGGGATTACGTCTTAGAAACTATTATTCTAAGATATTACTTGCTGCTTTTAGTGCTTATATACCCTATTATAAAGGCATATCCTAGGGCTTAGCACTTAATAACAAGGCAAAATACCTGTTATTTACTCAAGGCATAGCTCCTTAGTATCTTCAGCAG